TAGTTTTGTGCTTCCAGCGTCTGACAGCATGTTAGCACATCAGTTGAACAAGAGACACAAAGTCCGGTTCCTTTATTTAGATCCCACCTTGAAGGTTGGCTTTACAAGTGATTTTTAGGCTGAATTCTTTAGCTGGAATTCTTGCTGTCCCCTGTCACTTTTTGATCATCTCAAAATCAATACAGAATTTAGTTTGAGTGCAAGGCTTCAGCTGTTGGCCTTATCCCATTGTGGCGTGTTTAAGGAAGGCAGTGAAGGTGTGTAGTGAAAAGTGAACGTCCATAAAGAGTGTCATAAACTGAACAAATCTCAAAGCTGTGGCAAATGCTTGACTGTGTGAAATATGTTCACTTGATTCGTGTCAAAATCATATTGAGGCGCCATGGTGAGGGGTGGTCTTGTTTTTGTATAGCTATGAGCCTACCGAAAAAGCAAGGTGATTAGTTTTGTTTCCATGTTTGTTGCCATTTGGTATGTGTTTTGACTAGCTCGCATTGAATCTGTTAACGGCCACTTAATGTTAAACGAAGGGGAGCTCGAAGTAATTAAAACCAGGCGCCAAGGGGGGATTGTTGACTGCATTCCACGACCACCAGGTGGGAGCGAAGACGACCCCAAAAGGTGAAAAGAACACACTGCAAAGAGGACCTATTTTTTTTGGAATTAATTTACATGGACCCACCTGTTAATGACTATGTATGAACCGGGACAATTAAAAGCCGAAGACAGGATTGTATGCGTGCGCGTCTTGGTTGAGCAGAGACTCCCGGTGCACCCAGCGCTGTTTGCTTGCTTTTTGTTAATTTAATAAATATTAAATTTAATTGGAATTTTGTTTTATGCAAAATTATTTCTCACAACTGGAATCCAGTGTGGTGGTGTTAAACCTCTGTAAATATGTGCAATGTGTGTGTAGACCTTCTCTGTCCAGAAGTTTTACATGAAAAATGCCAAATAATTTTGGCTGTGAGCTGCCAATATGGCTTGGTGACTTCTCATTTACAGCAGTTTTATTTGCAGGTGACAGTTGGAGTTTATGATCCATGTAACTTATCCCAGTATCCTGGATGGCCACTGAGAAATTTCCTAATCCTGACAGCCCACAAATGGTATCTATTTTATTATTTCCCACAAAAATTATCTATTAGTTGATATCAAATTAGACATTTCCCCTCCCATGGCACTGTATTCTTATCACCCACCTGGATTACACTTCTAACTTTGACATGATTCACCCTCAGTGATTCTGATTTTGTATATTACTGTTTTTTACTTCTGTCAGTCACAAATTCCTATTATTCCTAATCTTCACACACGTGTATGTACCTGGAAATACATGCTTCAGATCCTGCTAATGCCCTCTACCTGTTTCTTTTCTTTAAAGTATCCTATGATTTCATATAGTTAATGAGTGTCAACTAAAGTAGACCTAAATTTTGAAAATCAGATCCTTTTAGGTTTTTTTGTAGTGTACCTTCTTGAATTTTTTTGTTTGGCAGAAGTAGGACGGAGTTTTACACTCTATTTGAGAAATAGTACCATTTAAAGTATCAAATACTTTTGGGTAGCTGTAACAAAAATGTAATTAAGTTGCATGGTCATAGTTTTGACTTTGACATTTTATGACAAAGGGTCAGGGAGAAGAAAATACTCACTTAAGTACTGTGTTTTCTGGGCTGCCAGCTGACTTATAGCATAGAAGGATGTGTGAGTGCCCAGAGAGCTTCACACATTCTGAAATTCAGAGGGTTTTAAGCACGAAATTTCTAATAGTTTGATTTGGGGATTTGAATCAGAAGGAGGAAAAATGGCACAATATTGAGAAGTGAAAGGATCTTACCTGTACCATGGCAAAGTGCATCATTGTTGCCTGACGTGTGCTCTAGTGCTTTTTATTCCTCTAAATATGCAGCTTGTCCACCAGCATTGGATAAATGAGGGAGCACAGGCTGACAGTGTCACTTTTTTAGAGCTGTTTCATAACAAACTGGGTATTTTCACATTGTTTTTATTTATACCTGATAAGAACAAGTGTTCCAGTACTAACCAAAAAAGCCTTATTCAGAATCTGTAAGAGACTAAACTTGTGTGAAATAGTCTTTAAAATAAATCCTTTTCCTACAAAAGAAGTTGCATGTTTCTCTATCTTTTTTTTTTTTTTTTAAATGGCAGGGGCAGCATTCTCCAGTCAGTTGAAGTGCTCTGCTTCAGAGACAGAACCATGCAGGGGGTGAGAGACATAACACACAGCATTATCTTTGAAATAAAACTTCCAGAGAGAGCCCTTGGCCCAGGTAATCCAGTTAAAAACTTAAAATAATTCCCTTTTTTCTTTTTCTCCCTCATCAATCACTGTGAAGATGGAATAATTAATAGTATTAAATCATTGCTTATGCTGATTTATTTCAAATGGATTTTAAATAGATTAATTTTTTTGTTAAATAAATATAAAGGAATTGGTTCCTTCCTAGAAAAAATAAAAGAGAGCATTTAAATTTTTTCTCCTTAAATTATATCTCTAATTTCAAAAAGAAGAGTCCTCCTGGTGTCATATGAAATATAAACCTCAGGCACTTAGCAGTTAGTCTCTTTTATTCTTGCTACATTTGTATGTGGGCCCTCAGCTAGAAAAAAAATGCCTAGTGAATTTATGTGATGCAAACTTTCTGTGTATTTCTGAAATGGTAGAAGCCTGCTACAGAGTGGAATTGTTTCTTCAGTCCCATAGTGAGGTAGGCAGATGTAGGTTAAAGCAATAAACTTGTAACATTAGAATGTAACCTCAGATATAATTTCTGTGTCCAGGAAAGTGTCACAAAATTTCTCTGCCTCATCCAAGAAGTTATGAATACTTTATGTATCATTGATGTGAATTGTTTAATTATTATGTAGTTAGGACATGTAATTCTCTACTGAATTTACAGATGGGGTCTAGGGAACATGAAGAGTTGATTGAACTTGGCATCATCTAGCGAGTTCTGAACACAGCAGTCTGTCTGACATTAAAGACCTGGAGGTGTAATGAGGCATGGTGCCATCTCTGTCCTAAGTTTGAAACCTGTACTTGAAGGTTTAGAAGTTGTTGTTGTTTGTTTTTTTTTTTTTTTCCCAACAAGGATAAATCCAACAGTTTATTTTTTCTAACCTGTGGTATTAAGGCTTTCATTATTTCTTCTCTTTTTTCTTCATATATCAATCAGATTGTCCAAAAGCTGTTGGATGGGAGAAAAACCAAAAGGGAGGTATGGGTCCAAGGATGGTGAATCTCAGTGAATGCATGGATCCAAAAAGGTTTGTTTATTGTCTTTTAAACTTCTATAGTTTCCATTATGTGGGCTTAAGTCATAACAGCTTGAAATGTGGAATGCAAGGATTGTATCTGATAGATAAGAACCTCCAGTAACACAGATACTGGATATTCTTTGGACAATCCTGTTGAAGGTAAGGACTTTAACAGAGCAGTGTGCACTGCATGCAGCAGAAATGATCACAATTTAGCTTAAAATTTCAAATGCTTCATATTTAAAACTGATTGAAATGTAGGTCATAGTGTTACAAGCCTGTGGTTTTCAATGAATTCTGTAACCTTCAGGTTGCTAAATGAAAATAAACCTGGGGTTCAGCCTTTTGGAATTGTTAGTGTGACAGGAAAGAGCTCAGGAAACACGACCATGGTAACTTGCTTTCACTGTCTGCATGTGTGTCCTTGACTTTGGAACACTGTAGGAGTGTGTGGATCTAATGACTATGGGGAACATATTTTACCTATCAAACTAAGCCAATTTTGTCTTGCAATTGTGTCAATTCACAGTATGTTTACGGACACAGATGGTTCATCTAAGGGAATTGAATGTAAGTTGACCTTTACTTATATGCACACTAACTGCTTTTAATTCCCACAGAGACTGTGGGTAACACACCAGCCTTGGCAGTTGTCACCTCAAGTCTTTGTTGGACAAATAATTTACTGGATAGTGCAAAAGTTACATTTGTGATGTCTAAAGGAATGAATCTGAGAAGTGTCATGACCTGATCTGAAGAGAGTTTAGCACCTCCTGTTCTGACGAATACACAGTCTGACACTAGGTTGAACATGGATTTCTTATCTCATTTTCCTTCTAAAACTTCCACAAAGGACTGACCATATTCTTGGGGACACAGTGTAATATTAAGGATGGAGGCAGTTTCTGTCATTAGGTGGGAGTATGCTTGGGTGACTTTGTTTTTCATATTGCTTCTACGATGAACTGTTTGAATTATTTCTCTTCTTTAAAAAATATTGAACTTCTTCAGCTGAAATAAAAGCAATTGCTTTGTTGGAGAAACACAAGAAGTGTTTTGCTGTTTATTTCATGGCATAGGTTAGCAGAGTCATCTGTGGATCTTAATTTGAAATTGATGTGCTGGCGGTTGGTGCCCACTCTGGATCTGGAAAAAATTGTGTCTGCCAAGTGTCTGCTGCTAGGAGCTGGTACACTGGGTTGTAGTGTTGCAAGGACCTTGATGGTAAGTCCTGAGTTAATCTTAAAAATCTCCTGTTTCTCATAAATTCTCTATGGTTGGTTGGGGCTTTTTGAGCAGCTGCCGTGGCACATAAAAGGAAGGTTGTATTTCTTTGTATTAAAATACACGTAATACATACCAGAGGATATTCTAAATTGCAGGAAGGAGGTAAGATCTGTAGCCAATAGAGATAACTTGAAGTTCTGCTAATAGTAAGATTAGTAGATAGTAAGAGAACCATAGCAGAATAGTGATTTGTTTTGAATTTACATAAAACTGGATTGAACAATAAATTCTGAAACAAATCAACAGGATGTTAAGATCAAATTCACACTGAAGCACTCTAAGTCACTCGGCTGATATTTACTCTCAGGGATGTTTACTGCATCCCACTGAATTCAGTAAGGTTTTGAGGGGTTACTGTTAAATGACATATTTGAACAGACCAAATTTTCTTGTTTCTTATTTCCGTGCGAGTACAATGTTGCTGCTGTGAATAGCTTCAAAAGCTTTTTTAGCTTGATCTTTATAGAAAAATTGGTCAGAGCTCCTCTTGAGTTTCTGACATGGCTGAAAAATACATGGCTAAGCCCATTGTACTTAACTTCATTTAAATTGCTTTCTTGTGTAGGGCTGGGGAGTCAGGAAGATTACATTTGTGGACAATGCAAAGATCTCCTACTCCAACCCTGTGCGACAGCCACTGTATGAGTTTGAAGACTGTCTTAGTGGCGGGAAGCCTAAAGCACTTGCAGCAGCAGACAGGCTACAGAAAATCTTCCCAGGAGTGGTAAGATCAGTATTTAAAATGTGTTATTACATTCCATGGAGGGGAACCAATGACTTTAAATAACTATTCAAAGTTCTAATAATTAAGTATGAGTGGGAAAAATAATATGTAGGTGTTATGTTGGTCACTGACAAATCAATAAGCATTTTTCTTCAATTACTCTGTATCTGTTAAACTTTCTTGAGATAATGAATGTTTGTGGTAATGAAGTATAGTTAAGGATCATCTGAATCATCTTGCAGCTCATTGTTAGTGAAGTAAAGTTTTTTTCCTGTCTAGTACGCCCTAAGGAACTTTCAGTAACGGCTGCTTCCAATACTGTGTTTTCCTGCTCTGCTCTTCAATGTGAGTTTAGACACAGTAGTTGTCCCTTATGGGAGCAGAAGGCCTTGAAGGCAGTAATAACAGGATATCTCAACAATACAGTTATGTTTTACACTCAAAATTTGCAATCTAATCTAAACTGATTTTCTACATAAGTGGCAAATGATTTGATTACCTTCCACAAAATGGAAGTAGCAGCCTGGAGAAAGTATCAGTCTTGACATTGGACCACAGTACTCCTCTATTGGGGAGCCTGGTAGTAATAACCTAATATCAAAATGAAGTAAAAGGAACAAAAAGCAAGAATTATTTTTTATGTTGTTTTAGAAGGTTTATGAAGAAAGACCCACCAGTTGCAGCCTTCATCCTCTTTGACTCCAGGGAAATGCATCATATAAACATTATTCAGTGCACGTGTTCAGAAACACCAAATTTCAATGCTCTGTGCTTTTGTTTTGGTTTTAGTTGCATTGATCCTTTTATTGTAATTATTTGTGAAATGACCATGTGATGCTACCTAGGTTTTTTTTTTTTTACATGATTTCTTGCTTTTTAAACTTGAGAAAATGAAAACAGGCATATTAAGAAAGAATGAGTAGTTTAATTAGAAGAAAGAAAAGCCGTTTGTAGAATCCTGAATGATACAGTTTTGCTTGTTGAGATAAAGATCAAAAGTTAGTGTTTAGAAATAACCAAGAAAACAAAAGACCAAGCTGTACTGTGGAATCTTGAGATTGTGATGACGATTAAAAAAAAAAAAAGAGGGGAAAAAATAGTTAAATGTAACTTGCAAAGGAGCTTCCAGTAGTAAGAGGGAACCACTAACAATGCTTGTGTGAGGACATTTGGTATGCATAGGAAAAAACTATTTTCCTGTTCAGTAATAGTGTATACAGTGTGCGACCTGTACTGTATGTAAGGAATTTTTCCTCTGCCACAAATGTTCTGCATCTTCCACTTTTGTCTTAGCACATTATCCCCATCGGTGTTGGGGATCCTCTGTTGTTTCCTCGAGCCAAGGATGGGTCGCATCTCATCAGCCTTTGGTGGGGTTCAAACCTGGTTTCCTAGCTTTGAGGCACAAATGAGGAGAAGGTAGTTCCACAGATCTTGTGTAGCCTTATGATAGAATGTTTCCAATCTAAGTTTTGGTCAAACTCGTTTCTGCAGTAGAATTCATGGGGAAGAGATAGAAGAGGTTATATCTGACTTCCTAAGTCACCAACAGTGTCAGTTAACTAATAAATCAGTGCTTGTGTGCAGTACCAGGGCTTGGTGAGTTATCCATAAATGTGTTATTGATATACAGCATGGATTATCATAGAATGTAGAATCAGAGGATCGTAGAATGTCTGGGCTGGAAGGGACCTCCAAAGGTCTTCTAGTCCAACCCCCCTGCAATAAGCAGGGACATCTCCAACTAGATCAAGCTACTTAAAGCTTCATCTAGCCTGATCTTGAATGTCCCCAGGGATGGGCCCTCCACCACCTGTCTGGGCAACCTATTCCAGTGGTCTGTCACCCTCATGCTGGAGAACTTTTTCCTAATCCCTAACTTAAATCTCCCCTTTTCTATCTTAAAGCCATTACTCCTCGTCCTGTCACTGCAAACCCTTGTGAATAGTCCCTTCCCTGCTTTCTTGTAGGCCTATCTCGGATACTGAAAGGTTGCTATAAGGTCCACTGGAGCCTACTCTTCTACAGGCTGAACAACCCCAACTCCCTCAGCCTGTCTTCATAGGAGAGTTGCTCCAGCCCTCTGATCATTTTTGTGGCTCTTCTCTGGACACGCTCCAACAGCTCCACGTCCTTCTTGTGCTGGGGGCTCCAGAGCTGGACACAGCACTCCAGGTGAGGTCTCACCAGGGCAGAGCAGAGGGGCAGGATCACCTCTCTCCATCTGCTGGCCACACTTCTTTTGATGCAGCCCAGGATTTGATTGGCCTTTTGGGCTGCTGCTGCACTTTGGTGGCTCATCTCCAGCTTCTCATTTCCTAGTACCCCCAAGTCTTTCTCCAGTGGACTGCTTTCTAACGTGTCCTCTCCCAGCCTGTATGGGTAATGTTGATTGCCCCTCCCCAGATGCAGGACACTGCAGTTGGTCTTGTAGAACCTCATGAGGTTCACCTGAGCCCACCTCTCCAGCCTGTCCAGGTCCCTCTGGATGGCCTCCCGTCCCTCTGGCATGTCAGCTGCCCCACCCAGCTTAGTATCATCAGCAAACTTGCTGAGGGTGCACGTGGTGCCACTGTCTGTGTCATTGATGAAGGTGTTAAACAACACCAGTCCCAATACAGACCCTTGAGGGACCCCACTGGTCACTTTTGCCCAGCTAGATGTTGAGCCGTTGACCACAACTCCCTGGGCGTGACCGTCCAGCCAGTTTCTTACCCACTGAACAGCCCACCCATCCAACCCATATCCCTCCAACTTAGAAAGGAGGGTGCTATGGGGCACAGTGTCAAAGGATTTAGCGAAGCCAAGATCAGTGACGTCCGCAGCTCTTCCCTTGTCCACTAATGCAGCTGCTTCATTGTCGAAAGCCACCAGATTGGCCAGGCAGCCCTTGCCCCTGGTAAAGCCATGCTGACTCTCTTGAATCACCTCCCTGTCCTCCATGTGCCTGAGCGTTTCTTCTAGGAGGATCTGCTCCATGATCTCCCCAGGCACAGAGGGGAGGCTGACAGGGCAGTAGTTTCCTGGGTTTTCCTTCCCACCCTTTTTAAAAATAGGGGTGACGTTTCCTTTCTTCCAGTCACTAGGGGCCTCACCTGCCTGCCAGAACTTTTCAAATATTATGGACAGTGGCTTGGCAACTGCATCAGCCAATTCCTTCAGCACTCTGGGGTGCATCTCATCAGGCCCCATGGACTTGTGACTGTTAAGGTTCCTCAGACATTCAAGCACCTTGTCCTCATTAGCTGTGGGAGGGGCTTTGTCCTGCTGGTCCCTGTCTCACAGGCCATCCTCTTGAGAGCTGTGAGGAGAGAAGTTGCCATTGAAGACTGAGACAAAAAAACTTGTTCAGGACCTCATCTTTCTCCTCATCTGTTGTCACTAATCCCCCATTGCTGTTCTTCAGGGAGGGGGTGCCTTCTTTACCCTCCCTCTTCTGGTTAATGTACCTATAGAAGCCCTTCCTGTTTTCCTTTGCATCTCTAGCCAAGTTCAGCCCCAGCTGTGCCTTCGCCTTCCTCACCTCATCCCCGCACAAGTGGGCGGTACCCCTGTACTCTTCCCAGGATACCTGTCCCTGCTTCCACTCCTTGTGCAGTCTCATCTTGTCCTTTAGTCTGGCCAGCAGGTCTCGACTAAGCCCTGCTGGCCTCCTTCCTTCCCTACCTGGTGTCCTACAGCTGGGGACTGTAAGTTCCTGCACTCTACGATAAGTAAAGATTAAAGATTTGCCAGCTCTGCTCCACTCCCTTGTCTCTAAGGACTATTTCCCAGGGAGTATTACTGATTAACTCCTTGAAAAGCTGGACATTTGCTTTTTTAAAATTTAGGGGTTTGACTTTGCTTTTTAACTCCCTGATACCCCGTAGGACCGTGAACTGAACTAACGCATGGTCGCTGCAGCCCAGGCTGACTCCTGTCTTGATATCCCTCATGAGCTCACTAGCGTTTGTGACCATCAGGTCTAGTATTGCATCCCCTCGAGTAGGGGTGTCTATTCCCTGCCTCAGGAAGTTGTCATCAAGGCATGGAGTCAAGGCACAGGAGTCTCCTGGATTGCCTGCCGCTCTCTGTGCAGCTTTTCCAGCATATATCAGGGTGGTTGAAATCTCCTAGTACGACAAGAGCCTGTGAGCATGATGTCTCTTGTAGCTGAAGTAAGAAGGCCTCATCAATAAGCTCCCTTTGATCAGGTGGCCTGTAGTATATACCAACCACAAGATCTCCTTTATTCTCTCGGCTTCTGATCTTTACCCATAAGCTTTCAACCTTCTCATGACTGTTTTTAAGGGACAGCTCTTCACACTCCATCAATTTTTTAACACAAAGAGCACCACTGCTGCCCTTCCTTCCAATCCTGTCCCTCCTGAACTATTTGTAGCCATCAATTGCTACGCTCCACTCATAGGATTTGTCCCACCAAGTTTCAGTCATGGCCACTATGCCATAACCTTCCTGTAGCACGGTAGCTTCCAGCTCTTCCTGTTTGTTGCCCAGGCTGCATGTGTTGGTGTAGAGGCACTTCAGCTGGGCTGCAGGATACGCTGGTGACTTAGATGGGTGTCCTTTTAATCCCCTTTTAACACCTTAAAAAGGTGTTCTTTGACTAATAGCCTTTTGTTTTCCCATTCCACTAGCCCTGGAATATTATTCTGTTGCCTATCACTGATGATCCTAACATCACCACCCCCTTGCCCATTCTCTTCCCCTTACTAGACAGGTCTCTTCCCTTTGATACGAGCATTTCTGGTGCCATGTAGGCTCTCCTGTTGACAAAGAAAGCAAAATTGTGGTGGCGGCACCAGCCTCGGAGCCATGCATTAATAGATGGGATCTTTTTGTTTGTGTCAACGTTATTGCTTTCAACTCGTAGAATATTGGAGAAGATGAGCTGAGCCCCAGATTCCCTTAGCGGCCTCCCTGAAGCCCTGAAATCTTTTTTAATTGTTCTTCTGCTATGTGTAACTGCATCTTCACCTCCCACATGGAAGAAGAGTAGGGGGTAGTAATCTGAGGACCTTACTAGGCTGGGAAGTTTCCTAGTGATGTCCTTAACCTTGGCTCCAGGGAGACAGCAGACTTCCCTATGAGGCGGGTCTACCCGGCACATGGGACCTTCTGTTCCCTTCAGAACAGAGTCACCCATAACAATTATCCTACGCTGCTGCTTTTTCTGTGTGGTGGTGATAGAGGGAAGGGGCTTTACTAACTGTGTAACCATCTTCACTACAGTTAGATTTTTGTTCTTAAGTTTTAAGTTTTATGTTTCTGCCACAGCTTTTTTTGAGGAGATAGTGACAGTGAAGGCAAAAGCTCCTGCAGTCATTTCCCAGTGTCTGCTGGTGATGCAGAGCTGTCCTTCCTGGGAAGCAGTGGAGCTTCCTGTTAGCAACAGACTAGATCACTGTGGACTCCACATTTTTCCCCTTGGAAGTGGGGGGCAGAGGGAAGAAAGGGGAAGAAAAAACAAAAGTTGCATCCTTTGGCATGGTTATTGCAGCTATCACCCAGATTCACTTTCCCAAGCTGCCGTATGTGTCTCAGAGACATTTATGTTTAGAATGTGTAGTTCACCCTTCTGGTTATTTGGCTCATCTGGATTTGTGAGTTGCGTGTGTAATTGGTCTGTCCAAAAGCACATTCACCAACCTTCCTTTCCTCTCTTCCCCTGTAATTTTATGTTTGATTCATCTAGCTTTTAAATTTTGGCTTTTAAATTTTTGGTTGCTTACAGCACAGCAACAGGCCAGGAGACTTTGGCAAGACCTGTGCTTCTGTAACATGTATGAAAGGCCTGTTATTCTCTTCCAGCAGATGGCTGACAGATTGTGTTAGCAGATTTCCAGATGAGTGAGTTAGTTGTTTGCATTTTGTGTATATGCTTACTTGGCTCTTCAGCCATTTTCTGCTCAATATGCCTTGCCCAAATACAGAGTTGGAAGAGGCATATGTTGCTGCAACAGGAACAGGCTCTTTCAGCATCTGCACAGTGAAAGTCTCCAGACATCCAAGCGCTGGAGTAACAAGTCTCAGAAGTGATTTTCTTCTATATCAAGTTCACATACGGCCAGTCGAATGACAGGAAAAGTATTTGAGACTATTGTTCTTCTCTTAAACAATTTAAAACAAAGAGGAGAATGGGTGATACTTCACATCTGTCTTACTGTAATTGAATCGGTTTTCAATAGCAGAGATACAAACTACACCCCGTTAACATGTTATGTGTGGAGTGGCTGCAAAGGTATTCCAGGACTAAGGTTTTATATAAATTGAACATGATCATAATCATATGTAAGATCCATCTGCTTTTGTACTGATGTTTGTAACCTTTGGGATTAGGACCAGTTCAGCTATTCTCTCATAGTGATTTGCCAATTCTGATAAGACCTGCTGAGAGACTGGGTTTGTTCATTCAGACACCGAGCCACCTGCCCACGGTTGGTCTGCTCTCATGACCCAAACCAGCCTGTTTGCATTGAGCTGCTCTGTCCTGGGTGAGTGCAGCAGCACTGACACCCAGAGAGGTGGCAAGATGCCACTCTGCCAAACAGTAACTGGATTTGTCCTGTACCATTCTGTATTGAGCTTTATAGTAACACTATGGACTCACAAGGTCATCTTTTTACTGTGTTGTTTTGTGTCTGTCTCCATCCAGAGTTCAGAAGGCTATAACATGAGTATCCCTATGCCAGGCCACCCAGTGAATTTTTCTGAAGTAACCATGGCACAGGCTCGGAAGGATGTGGCTAAACTTGAGGAGCTTATTGATGCTCATGATGTTGTTTTCCTACTGATGGACACTAGAGAGAGTCGATGGCTTCCTGCTGTCATTGCAGCCAGCAAGAGGAAGGTATTGTGCCATACCTTGCTCATATCCTTGCCACTGTACTTCAGCTCTTCCATATTAACCATATCTTCTATATATGTGTATAAAAGAACTTTATAACAAATGGAACTATTTGACCAATTTTTATATGATTATGCAGATTTTTTTCTTTTTTTTTTTTCGTAGCCTCAATGATTCTCTATAGGACAAAAAGAGAATGTTGAAAAGAGGAAATAGAAACTTGTATCACAGAATTATACAGATTGAAGGAGACCTCTGCAAGTGATCTGGTTCAACTTCCTGTTCAAAATAGGGCCAATGTGCAGCATGTTGCTCAGGGTTTGTCTGGACAGTATCTTTTGAGCATCCCCAAAGATATATGTTACACAGTAATACTAAGAAATAATTTCATAATAAGAGAATCACAGTAAGGACGACTACAGATGTTACAGTGATGATTGACAGACACGGCATGTGAACTGTAGAAACTTGTCAAAAACTACATCTTATCTCAAAAGTGAAAAGTCAGACAGTGAATTCTGAACTTAAAAAGAATACCAACACTTTTTTTTCTGTTAAGGAAAACCTCTTTATGGTTAACTTTTATTGTCATATTGAAAAATGTACTGTTGTGCTGAGCCAGTGCTCCAGCTATTTCTGCAGCTTAAAGGTAACATCTTCATGTTACATGCAGCCCTCTCGCTTCATTTTTCTTTGTAATACATGAAAAAAAGATTGTGAATTCTTACATTAGAAAACAAAAATAGTATCTGGAGCTTTATAGATCATACTCTGTATACAAGATAAGTGAGACTGTAAACAAAGTGCTTATGTAGTCAAAATGTTAAAACATCTTCCGTGGTCAGTATACAGATGTGGTCCTATGAACCAGGCTGAGAAATGAAACACAAACTTAACAGAATTTTTCCAGGAGAGTAATCCAAACTCTTCCTGTAGAAGAATATTCTAAATCACACAGGATTCTGAAAGCAGCATCTTTCTCCAGGTTAACACAGTGTCGAAAGCAAAGTTTTGCTGAACACTTATTTCCCTTCCTATCGTGTCATAGAACATAGTAAAACAATTCAAGTAAACTTGGTATTTCTTAATTCATTTAAGAATTTTGCATTTTTATGTGTGCTCACTTAATACTTCCATTTTCTGATTTTGTGCTATTTTAAGCTTTTAACATGTCAGCTTAACCACTGCACATCTGTGTATTTTGTGGCATAAATGGAGTGATGTCCACAGCAATTTAAGTTGTGAACTTAACATGAGAGTAAAAGAAAACAACACGTGACACAGCTGAGTCAATGTTATTTGAGCTTTGGTTTTTGTATTTACTGCCTTCTGTGATTTTTCAGCTATGACAACTCTAGTTTCTAATAGTTGTTAATGGTTTCCTTTGTTTGTGTTGGTATTTATTTCCAAAAAACAGCTGGACAGTAGAAAGGAGGAAAAAACACAGATTTGTGGTATTTGCAACCTAGTTTTATCTTATAAATTCCAAGTATGTTCCACTTTCTCCTCAAGTTTATGTTCATGTGAACCTAACTAAATTTCCTCTGCACCTGCTTTGCAAGCAGGTTTTTCACAAATCAAATGGTTCTCTTTTTTTTTTTTTAAGGCAAGATTTTCAATTTTCTTTAATTCTTTCCTTATTTCAAATAGTTGTCTGATCCTGAGCACTAGTCTTGGATGTCTTTGTAGCTCAAACGAACTTCCCTATGCCAGTGCAAAGATTTGTTTCCCTTTAGTGTGGACTTCACTAAGTGCAATTTCAGGTGTAAATGAGTGTATGTAACTTGATGAGTTTCTGCTTAACCCTACTGACTGTTCTGCAGTTCACACCTGTGGTTTTTTAGAGGTCTTTTAGCTGTTTAAAACCAGCACAGTGTGTCGGCCTGCCTCACAGCTACTTCATTTTCCTAAGATGACGTTGATGTAAGTAGGTGTGGTTCTCTGTGGCTGAATAAGCACAGCGTGGAAAATCCCAGGATGTCCACACTGGTGTCTGCTTTGCAACCTGCTTCATGTTGATAAACATTAAATGAGCTCTTCATGTGTGAATTCATATGACAACTGCAAATCCATCTGAACATGAGGAAGAACTTCTTTGGTGTGAGGGTGGCAGAGCCTGGAGCAGGCTGCCCAGAGAGGCTGTGGAGTCTCCTTCTCTGGAGAGATCCCAAACCCATCTGGATGTGATCCTGGGCACCCTGCTGTGGGTGACCTGCTGGAGCAGGCGGTTGGACGAGATGATCTCCAGAGGTCCCTTCCAACATCCATCAGTCTGTGACTCTGTAATTTCTATGTAAAATATTTGCATATGAAGCAGTGATATTTTCTTTTATATTTTACTGGCTGCAGTCATTATTGTGTAATTTTTTTTGCATTTTGCTATATCTAAATCATTGCCTATAAGTTTAGTAAAATCTCATTTATTTGTTTCATGATATTATGGTCATAATGTTTATAGCTTCACATTACTCTAAGCACTTGTAAGAAACTGAAGAGGAAGGGGAAAATGATGACAGTGTAATTGTGTATCACAGCTGCTTGTGCTCCCCATGTGACTAAACAGATGCATATGAAGACCATAAGTAATCATTAATTGCTTTCTTCACTGAGCAGAGTGGATTTTTTTGGGTGTTTTTTTTTTTTGGATAACAGACTTGTGTTTCATTGCTTTGTCACATGGGAGTGTTTAATGAGTCATGTTTCAGACCACAGTGAACTGAAAAGACTACACGCAGTTTAAAATGACACAAAACTTTGTTACTGATAGCCACTGCTGTACTTAAATGGCACTTGGAACATTTTAGCCCTTGGAGAATATGAATGTACAGAATATGCAGCAAACTTGAAAATCCATTCTGAGCTACCACCAAAATTGCTTTTTTTCCAGTAATGATACTAATCATTATATGAATATTGAGCCAAATTTGGATGAATGAATGTTAACTCGTATCAGTGCATAGCAACTTCAGTACCTTTAGTGAGTTAAGCAACTTCAGTAACTTAAGTGAGTTAGAATGAACTTTGCTTCAGACATGAACTAGCACAACACATTTATGGAGCTCCTGGTCCTTTTTTTTTGGTGTCAGCAAGTGTATATAGGTTTGTGTAACAGTTGTTCATTTGTATCAGCTTTCCCTGAAAGATTCAGAAAAAGGTAGTGCTTTGTGGGCTTCTGCAACAGACTTTTGTTTTGGTTTTGGTTTTTCCAGGTGCTTGACAACAGGAATTTTGCATCTGTCAGAAAACCTGTTGTTTGTGGCTAGAGTATGAGAGATAAAGATAATAGGCTGTCTGTCCATCTACAACATGTGGAGCTTTTTGACATTTACAGTGAATAAAACCTTGAGACCTTTTTTTCCTCCCTCCCCTTTCGGCTCACTTCAAATCTGTTGTTCTCTCCTTATTGTCCACAGTTGGTCATCAATGCTGCGCTGGGTTTTGACACATTTGTTGTTATGAGACACGGACTAAAGAAACCCAAACAGCAAGACTCTGGTGATTCATGTTTCAACAATGCCTCTAGTTCTTCTGATCTTTTGGGATCATCGCTCTTTTCAAATATCCCTGGTTATAAACTGGGCTGCTACTTCTGCAACGATGTTGTGGCACCAGGGGATGTGAGTAGAACCGTATGCAAATGGTGATTTTATATCTCCTTTGTTGTGATTTGAATTTTTATTTCCTCTAAATGATTTTTCATGAAGGGATTTATGTTAATGTACACAGTATTAAGAAATAGCTCCTATTTTATTTTATTCATAAGAACAAAGAAATTAATTGCACAGAACTAAAGACAGTGAGTGTAGTTACTAGTTACTTTTGAGTTACTTTTTCTTTCCTTTAGAATTGTCTGTCTTTGTAGTCCACCAGGGATCGGACCTTGGACCAGCAGTGCACGGTCAGTCGACCTGGACTAGCCATGGTAGCTGGAGCACTTGCAGTGGAATTAATGGTTTCAGTTTTACAGCATCCAGAAGGGTGAGTCATTTCTGGATTGGTGTCCAAGAGGGGTTCTCTGAGAAATAAGATGTATTTCATACACTCTGCTGGGGGAAGGAGGAGGGAAGTACACATTCAGTAGGACAGCTCTGCAATGTACAGTGTTGCCTGTAAATTATTGTAATGTATAGCTCATAGCTTTTAAATTAGTGTCATCAGTGTTTAAGAGAGAGCTGATTCATCAAATCTGAAGTTTTTATTGTGGACATTGGCAGTTTTCTCTCTTTCTGAGTTTAAAAGTACTGAGAATGTTTCAAAAGAACAAAGTATTCCTGTTAGTGGATCTTGGCATTCGTTTGCTGAAGAGAGTGTTTGAGTGTAATGAGGAGCTATCATAACTATGTATGTCACATGAAGGGCTTCAAGATAAGCCAAGTATTGCAAAATGGTGTTTACATTTATGTGGGTTTGATACCGAAATTACTCTGAAATTTTGCAACCTGAAATTTAGACTTGTTTTCCGCCTTCAAAATCTGTGGAAGAAAAAGTGAGTTAGGAATTGGATGTGTGTGTGTTATAAGTCTCCAAGACAGATTCTGAAAAAGGGTTTTTACATTCCCATGCTGAATCTTAGTTGCTATGAAACAGACTTTCCAGATAGGTTCCTTTCCAGATTCTGAACTGAAAGAAGCTTACTGGAAATTCTGACTGTTGAGTATGTCGTCTTGTTCTAATTTTCCTCCTTGGATTTTTGGCAGTGGTTATGCTGTGGCCAGCAGTAGTGATGATAGAATGAATGAGCCACCTACTTCTCTTGGACTTGTTCCTCATCAGGTAAATAGTTTGTGAGTAAATGCTTTTGTTTAAAGGCTGAGAACTGATAGAAGGCAAACGTCACAGTCCTTACCTCTAACAAAAACATACTGTATGCTGATTCTGTTCCCTAAAGGGCTGAATCTCTGTTTGTTAAAAAAAAAAAAAAAACTAACTAAAAAAATTTTAAAAAAAATCCATCACACAGGCCAAGGGAGTTGTGTTCCTGGTGTTGTCTGCCTTACTTGTGGGCACACAATTCCTGCTACCTATTTAGCAGGAATTTCTTTGGAGCAGGCAGTATGTGAATAAGGCACAGGTCATAGTCTAAATGATCAGCCTCTGCTGCGAAGTGTTCTAAGTGCTGTCTCTGTTACCAGAAACAGTGGTCTGGAATTCTAAAATTCTGTATCAGCAGTATCATTTTAACAACATAGTTTAGGAATGTACAAGACGTAGTTTTTCAGATTGTGTTATAGATGTGGGAAGGAAAATGTGTTTAACTGGATGTGCCATGACTTTTTATTTTTGATTGAACTTTGCAGTCAGAAAAATCAAACTCCAGGTGGTGCTGTGCCTCTGTTTATGTTTAAATCATGTTGTGTTCAGGTAGTTGTGCCATTATTTGTATTAAGAGAAAGAGTAACGCATCTTAAGTATACATTGCTACGGGTGTTATTTGGGGTTCACTGTGTTAGAACAGTATTACCCTAATCAAAACTGTTCTTTATTGTTTTATTGAACGTTTATGTCTGGTTCATGTGGAATTTTGGAAATTTTTTGTTGTTGTTGTAAAATGGTATTGTGTTTTTTTCACCTTCCAGATCCGTGGGTTTTTATCAAGGTTTGATAATGTTCTTCCAGTCAGCCTGGCATTTGATAAGTGCACAGCCTGTTCAGCCAAAGTAAGTCTGAGTTTGTACTTTATATGTGCAGAGTGATCTTGTCCTAGATCAGTCTTGGGGTGCTGAGGGCTCCTTTATATTTGATTTTTTTCTCTTTCTTAGGGGCTGGAATCTGTTTTCTCACTTCAGCTAAAGTTCTCATGCCCTTCTTTTTTAGCTGTTTACAGATTTCTTTGGCATCATCTGCTAGCATGCTGTCTCCATGTGAACCTTCTAGTCAGCTGAAGAAACCAAGCAGAGATTAGAACCAACACATTTCTGAGAAGTTTATCACACAAATACTGTCAATATCTTTTAGCTTTGTAGGAAGGAACAAAATTGGCATTATTTCCAGTTATTTAAGAAATTATTTCAGATCTCTGAATAAACACATCTCTTCAGCTTACTTGAACTTAGTATCATTACAGGTAGGCAAAGTTGTCTAAACGTCTGTTTTATGGTGCAAACCAAGGAACACTTATGAAAGTGTTTATAAAGAACACTTTAGAAAAAAAAAATTCTTCCATAACATTCCCTTATTAAAAAAACTCTTTCATTTTGGTGCTAGTGTTGGCAGTCTTGAGTCACCTTATAGATTTCCAGCCATTGCTTGAATCTGAGCTGTGTTCCCAGAACACCAGGGCAGCCCACTAAAGTGTCAGTGTGAATCCTCCTCTTCAGACTTGGATTATTTTCTTGTACTGTGGCCTTGAAAATTTTGAGTTTTTTTCTGGCAAGCTTCTTATGGCCGCATAGTGCAAGTTCAAAAAGTTTTGGAGGGGGTTATCTCAATAGGAATATTGAGAGGTTCTGACTCATGCTTTGGACTGCTTGGAGTGCCATTAAGTTAGTTCACTTTTATGTACCTTGAGACTTACTGCAGGAAGTTCTTTCTGTTCTTGTTATGGCACTTGTCCTTTCAAACAGCTATCAAAAACTCTTGAGGCACTGTCCTTTTCTTGAAGACTTGCACAATTTCTTCTCCTGCAGTATTCCTTTTATTTCCCTAGGCTATCTAGGTACATTTGACAAGTTTTGAAGGACTGTTAATGTCCACTTTCTCTTCAAAAGTGGGATCATTAAGTTTAAATCTGCTGTTATTTTTAGAAATGTGTCTCTATCCTCTTAACAGCTGAAAGCTCAGCAGTAGCTAAAACATTGACAGAGCATGAGAAGTTAAACTCTTGGGATAAACTTTTTTTATTATTTTTTTTTTCTTTCTTTTTATCTCCCATCTAGGACATATTGATATATAAAACCAATAAAAACATACATCGATGCAGATAAATTAAATGCAGGTATCAATTTTTTGTTAGCAAATAATTTTCTCTTGGAGGTCATTTGAAGAGAGCCCTATTTTACATAAACAGACTTGATGATTTAATAAAAACTGACTTGGATTTTAGCAGCTGTGCTATTCCCAGAGAGATCACTTCTCATGTGGTTTGGATATTAAATTACTTCTGTGCTGAAAAGGTTGCTTCATTGGCTCACGTATTTCCTTACAGTAGAAACACAGCATTTGTGTACTTTGCTAACTTTCTATTTATTAGCATAAGAGTATGTCACCCTTTATTATCTGGAAATCTGATGCTAATACTTTGAAATGACAAATCCAATTACAGTTTAATTGTAGGCTTTTTTTTTAATGCAGCCATTTAGCATCATTTTATCCTGATCTATGTCAGAGTTGCTGGAGATTCAAACGTTTAGCACAGGAGAGAAGTGGCTTTTCTGAGAAAGTTGAATTTGATGGTACCCTGTTCATTTTCTTCTTTCTAATGTCACCGTTCGCTTTCTTGAGCTCTTGTTGCTTTGCAACTCTTAAAACTAATGAATGGGGAATTTAAAGAAATTCCAGTAGATTAAGCCATCCAGTACAGCTGGATGACTTAGGAGAAGCTGCTAACGATCCGCATGTTTAGAGATCAGATTCCATTTCATTTGGACTCAGTCATGGCTTCATTTCTGTGTTTTTGAAGCCGAAGAGACCAGACGTCCAAGCAGCCAACTATTCCTTACCCAGAATTGTCCTAAACAGGCTGCGTGCCAGAGAAGCTTCCCGCAGGCAATTGTTCAGGAATTCTGGGATGGTCGCGGCAGGAAACCAATCTATTTTTATTCTGGGCCAAATTTTCCTTGTCTGATTTCCCCCCCTCTGTCTTATTCTGGCTGTGCATGAGCATGTGCTGGAATGGAAAGTATCCCTTCCAGAGCTGGCAGTGCCAACGGAGCAGCAAGGCTGAGGAGCAGGGTCAGCTCCTCTCCTGCACTTCCTTTTCCATGTCAGGCTGCTTCTGCTACTGACGAGGGAGTTTAGTTGTCGTAACTGCTTTAGTCATGGAATGAGAATGTTAAGCTTGTTACTTTCTTTGCTAATTAAGCTGTCTGTGTGCCCCGCTGGGAGCAAAGTGAGGATATTTTAATATTATTGTGAGAAGCAAAAGTAGAGTGGGCCTGATGCTGCGCTACCTGATCCTTGCAGGTAACTGGCTAAAGCCTTGAAATGTGGATGTTAAAATATGTCTCTTAATGCAAAACTGGCAGTATTTATATTTTCCTGACGGTAACAAATATTTTCCTGTTATTGCTCCTCCCTCCTCCTTGTGCATCATTGAATGAAGCAGGAAACCTCTTAGTTTCTTAGGTATTCAGACCTTAATGTCAGAAAAGATTATTGCTGCTAACCAACTTGGAAGTACAGATGTCCCCTCTGTTTACATATAGCTCACAGATATTATTTCCTCCAGAGTTTGGATTTATCATCCATTTGCTAGAAAACTAGTTTATTTTCCTTAAAGGTATTTGTTTCCTTCCCCTCTTAAAATTGTTTTGATGTGTAATTATATCCAATATAAAATGAAAAAAAAAGGCAGCATATTTTCAAGTCCTTTCTCAGCTGCCTATTCAGTATACTGAAAAATTAAGCTACTTAAGTCATAGTTTAACTACTCAGAAATTTTACTACCCTTAATTATTTTTCACTTTCATCACATTTCATGAAGGGGTAGACACCAGGATCAGGCATGGGATTCTAGGCACTCGGTTATAATTTCTGCTTTCAGCCAAGATATTTCCCTACCCAAGATATTTCCCTACCCTTGCAGATGTTTTCCCTTTTTAACATCCCAGGGATACATTAACACTTTTGTTGTGACATTTACTCAGTGACTGCATAGCGCAAGTTATTTATGAGTGTTTCAGTTTTGAAATCTATCATCATGTGGACATAACAATGCTGTTATTGTTCTCATCTGCTAAGTGCTTTGTGTGCTTTTTTACTGTAAATGGTTCTGATCAGTTTTGACAGTAACCTGCACTACTCTGCAACTTAGTGGCTTTTTCAGCTGAGATAATTTTAGTTCTGATTCCAGCAAGACCCTTCAGACTTGTCCCAGTGCGTTCAGAAAAGATTTTTGTATTTGCTTTGTCCCATAGCAGCATATTGTACAATCTGTCAGTGAAACTCTTGGTAAGCTTTTTATATTATGCATTTCTCCATTCAAGTATTGCACTGTTTTTAAATAGAGATGTTTAAGTCACGAGGGAAAGAAATCCTTGGTATTTCTGTATTATAAAAAAGGTAGCTCTTGCGTATCTTGTGGAAATGGAGGAAGAAGGGAGAAATGTTTGTCTTTCAGGAATCAACACTCCAAAAATTTAAAAGAATGTTTAAAAAGAGTTATTTCTGTAGCTGGTCTGTAACATTAAATCTGTGTAACCAAGTCCATTTATAACTTTTCTTATTTCCTGAATTTACATATGTTAACATTTGACACTTCTATGTACAGTGCAGCCTCTGTATTAATATAGGATAAATTTCCTTCAGACTTAAAGAATGCATCATTAATATACCTAGGCATATTTTCAGCATACTGGGCTAAATATAATACTTTTCTTACACTTCTGGTGGCATAGAAATTTGCTTCATAAGTGACTTAAATAAATTTATCACTTTTGTTTTTCCTATTTGAAAAAATATAATTTTAACTGGGAGGAGCAGGAGGCAGGATTACCTTGCCCATAACTCTTGATATTTCAGGCAGTCTCTGCCTCTCTGGATATAAATTTTAAATTCAGGGAGAGAATTGAAATCAATATTTTTCAAAATTAGTCATGATGAGGTTGGTTTTACTGCTGGTAAAATTTGCACCTAGAAGGTACAAATTCTTTAAAATAATGCTTGGTCTTACTACTTCAAAAATACTGAATTTTTTTTTATAAAGTCAACAAAATATAATGAAGACTATTCCAAGTAAAAGGATACTAACAGAAGGAAGCTGTGGTGTGTGTTAAGAGTGCCACATCACATGCTAAGAAATTATAGCCATGGTACTGTGACCATTATGGTGGAATTTTGTTCCCTTGGAGGAGGACAAATGTGATAAAGAACTCCAGAAACCTAAAAACCATACTAACTTCAAGCATTACTCATTTTGTGAACAGAGAAAAGGGTGTGGAATCAGTGGTGCAGTCAGTTTTGTGCACTGGGGAAGGTGGAGAGGTGTCTGTCTGTACAGACCACATGGATGATAATTGAAAAATGGAATTTAAAACAACAGCACTGGAATCATTAATAAGGTGGGAGAGAGCTCATTATCTGTCCTATATCTGAAAAAAAAATACAGGATGTTAATGAAGTTTGCGTAGAGAACAGTCAAACTTCATAGAAATTTCAGTGGAGGAGTTACATCCTGTTGCCCCTTGCTTAGCCACTCGTAGGGCTGGATTGTTGGAGGTAGAAATGGTCCATGTTTTGCACTGGTCACTCCGGGTTGTGGGGTGCAGGTTTGTTGACCTTTAGTAAATCACACAGGTTGTTGACACCGAACAACCTCCCAATGTCAACGGGATTTTAAAACAAGAGGTAAATCTTGATGCTTTAGCTTGTGGTACTGAAGAGAAGTAAGGTTGTTTAAAAACCTAGTCCTGTCACAAGAAGGGTAGTTCAAAACTAACCAGTGTTGGTGCTGGCTGTGTTCACTGGTCCTCTTCGCCCCTCCCCAGACATGGTGGTGATA